TATATATATATATATGTTATGTTTATTAATTTAATAATTAAGTATTTTGATGACCTCATGATTGATATTCCATAATTTGTTAGATTCTTTCATAAAAAAACTCAATTGAATATATGCATGTGAGACTCGTAAATTATTTGACCTTACGAGAAAATTTTGATTACGTAAGACGTACGCAGCGTTGCGTACGTCGGGTAGGTTACAAAGAGGGTGTTTGGGGGTTATACCTGCGTTATACCCTCTATAATCTCCATGTAACCTACCGTAACTTACATGTATCTTTTAGTGAGTTCCGCGATTCTATTTTTATATATTTGTAGGTTACATGTAGGTTACAAGTAGATTATAAAGAGGTTATATGGGGTATAACGCGGATATAACCCCTCAATACCCTCCATGTAACCTACTGACGTAACGTATGCAAATTTTCTGCTAAACATCCAAAAGTTTAAAACTTTTTATTTGAGCTCATGTGAACATAAATTGAGTAACTATTTGGTGTTGCTGAAATAAGAGATCTAAAGACATTAGATTTGATTTTGAAAATTCCCAATTAAAAAATAATGAGAAGATTCGCGAGCATTGATATTTTATTATAAGTTTTTTTCGTTTGAAAATATAAATGTTTTCCATAATAAGCTGCGAGAACAAAGCATTATAAACAGCCCTAACAACAAAATATAAAATATTTGCTGATGATTTTTTTCTTAAGAGATAAAATTTAATAAAGGATTGTTTTTTTATGTGAAAAAATATGTTTATATTTAAATTTAGGGGGATTATCATACATGCCACAAGAAATTATCTATTTACAAACGTAACACTTAAACTTTTGTATGTGCGTGCATAACACTTAAGTATTTAATATTACATCAAAAATTTTATTGTTAGTATCTTCTTAAAGTGAAATGTATCTTTTCAAGCATAGATTTATTACATAAAATGGTATAAATGTAAATATAAAATTTTAGATTCTAGATATGTAAATTGGTAAGAATTATGTGTTACGTATACAAATTCCCTTTAAATTTTATTGACGAGAGAGAGAGAGAGAGAGAGAGAGAGAAGGGGAAGGTGGGTCGCCAGCTTATTATAAGAAAGAAATAAAAAAAAATAAAAAGGCTAAGATATGTGTTCCATTCATTGAAAACAAATCTTCCTAAAATTGATCCCCAAGTATATCCTCATCGGTATACATATGATGGATCCCTATATGTATTCTCATCGACGACGATTGATTGATCTATATTCTATGTAAATAAATTTAGAATTTGACTTGATACGTGATCTACAATGTAATTCATTAAATGAAATGATATAACTTTTTAGATCTTAAAATATTTGAGTATTTGGGTTAGAAATTTTTGAATCAAATTTTAATCATGGTAGTTGGGTGGATGTTTTGCATGGTCTGTTGTTTGATGTTATACATCAATGTGCATCTTTGATGCTTGACATTGCAAACAAGTTGTTTTGGTCACTAAGTGATATTGTTTCTCAAAGATTATCTGTTTAGTTATCCAATTGAACTCTTATTAAAAGAATTGCTAAATAGGCTTCTTCATTGTTGATCGGCTTTGAATCATAGGCATCGTTACTCAACATTGGTTATCAATTTGTATTGATATCCATTGTTATCATTATTCGACACATGCTGTCTTTCAAACCTAAATTAACTCAATATGGTTTGCTCATGATTCAAAGGTTGTTTAGGTATTTCTTACCAATTAACTCTAAATGTTTACATAGAGATTTACTTTGTTGTAACTATGAGAAACTTGAAGGCATTAATGACTTCAATTTTAGATGATTAAGTTGAAGACCTCCAACATTTTCTCTATGACCTATTTTTATGCCAAGATGGTTAGTTGAGGGAAGAATATCTTATAGAGAATAGGGTAATGATGACACATCACAACACCAAGAATTTGCACATAATTAACAAATATAAGCAAATGGCCTCCAAAGCTATATCATGGAAAGAAATGAACTCTAATTCCATCTTTAATAGCTGTTTATAAGATTGAATTACTGAACAATAAAGGGGCAAATGAATAAAACATGAGTTGACTTAATAAAAATACGTGCATTTAAAAATTACTCAAAAGAAAATTATATATTTTTTAAAAGGAACTCATGTCAATGACATTGTTGTTAAGATAAATTAAGGTTTTGGAGGAGCTCAAAGAGTCACATCTAACAATGTCGGTGTTGAGAAATTTGTGATCTTGTGTGCATATATGCAAGTGTTATTCAATTATGGCAATAGTTTGCCCAAGAAATTAGTGTCATTTTTGTGTAAATACCCCAATTAAAATCATGATTATTTGTATTAATGTTCATCTTCTTATATTTAACTGTCCTCTTTTATATAAAAGTGTTAGATGAGGATTAGTATCTTTAGAAAAATTGGTAATCAAAGTGTAGTAGAGAGAAAGAGAGAGAGAGAGAGAGAGAGAGATTATGTGTGGATTTGAGAGCTTGAGAGAAAATGAAGATTTAAGAAAGTGTCATCTTGTCCCTACTTGAAGAAATTTTTATAGTTCTCTTATCAATGTAAGTTTTGCAATTCTTCTCAAAAATTATAATCCATATAACACAACACCTACTCATCTTGTTGATTGTTTCTCTTTTTAATGCCTTTCTTGTCATAATGGATCTCATGTAGTGTTATAATTTGATATTAATAGATGTAACAAATAATAAAATAAATAAAAGAGGAATACACAAATTTTACGTGTAAAACCAAAGATAGGAAAAACCACGTGCAGAGGTGGAGAAATCAACTGATCAAATAAAATATTATAAGTGTAGAGTACAATTGGAGAGTATTTTGCACAAAATTGAAGAGCAGTACTTATAGTTTTAGCAAGACCCATTTAAGAAAAATAATTAAAAGAGTTAATAAAGTAATAACACTCAAATTGCAATCTAAAGGCTATCATGATTTTGATCAAGTGGTTGAAACCTTCAAGTTGTGTGTTCACAGATTCCTTTTAAAGTCTCAACCCGTGTGATCATAATTTTCTTATGAAATGATAAGCGAGAACCAAAAAAAATTGGCTCCCAAATTTAGCAATTTCCATCTTGAAACAAGTTTTCAAAGAATATATAATAGAATTTTTCCACCTCTTCCACACAACTTTAATGATTAGGAATGAATAATAACAAAAAATAGCAATGCTCAAACTTGACTATTGAAAGTGTTTTAGTTATCATATCCATTGGATTATCAGAGATACTGATCTCGCTCACAACAATATCACCACGAGTGATAACTTTACGAATAAAGTGATAACAAACACAATGTGCATAGTTCTCTCGTGTAATATTAGATATTTGCTGAGACAAATAACATTTTAACTATCACACATCAGTGTGATTTTCTTCAAATCTTCACTAAACTCTTCAAATAGACCTTTCAATTAGAGAGTTTTTTCGTAAGCTTCAGTACATATTCTTCATGCACTTAGCTTCAGTTGTAGGTAGTGCCACCATTGTCTATAAACTATTCTTCCAACTAATTGCATGGCCACATATAGTAAACATGTATCCTATAATTATTTGATTCTATTAAGATCTCCAACAAAATATGAATTGACATAGTAAATAACTTTATCTATTGTCCTCTCAAACGTCCTCTCAAACTACAAACAAACTTTTTTTTTTGGTTTCATATAGTTTTCTGAGGATCCACTAAACTACTTTCCAATGTTGTTTAACAAGATTACTCATATATCTAACAATTGCACTAATTGTATATGATAAATTTTGATGAGAACAAGTTACATTATACATGAGAGATCTCACTGCACTAGAATATAGACCTCAAGATATATATTCAATTTCATCATCAAATTGTGAGCATGAGACTGATGAAAGTCTGAAATGTGTGATGGATTACTAATAAGCTGAGCATTCTGCATATTAAATCTATATTGAATTTCTTTCAATGTGTCCTTTTTGACTTATAAATAATTATTATGCATTTATGTCTGTCTGAATCTCCATGCCAAGTATTTTTTTTTGCAACCTCCAAATCTTTTTATCTCAAATTGCTAAGTAGAGCTTTTAACAACTTGACGTCTTCTTTATCCTTAGCAGCTATGAACATGTCATAGATGTATAAGAGCAAGTAGATAAACGGTCCATTATTATTTTTCTTGAAGTAAGCACAACCATCATAACTACTTCTTTAAACTTATGAGCAATCATGAATGAGTCGAATTTCTTATACCACTTTCTAGGAGACAATTTCAAACTGTAAAGAGTATTCTTAAATAAAACTAAGTTTACTACATATAGATACCCTTCAAGCCCTCAATGCAATGTTACAATCTTTATATCTAACTACCCAATTTCAATACCATGTTTAGACATCATAAAACCAAGTAAAGCTCAAATTGAGCTATCTTTGACTATCTGATAGAATATATTTGTAAAGTATACACCTGGAATATGACTAAATCATTTTGCAATCATGCTAGTCTTATATCGAGCATCTTCAACTTCTAGTGTACCTTCATTTTTCTTAAACACTGATTTATAATGAACAACTTTCTTACCCTAAGGTAATTTTACCAAATCTCATGCTTTATTTTTGTGTAAGGATTTAATCTCTTCTTGCGTAGTAATTGTCCATTTACTAGAGTCAACTGAATTCACAATTTATTTATAATTAGAAGGTTCTTCACAACACTCGATATAACTCATTTAAAATAAAAGCGACCAAAGCAGCCTCATCAAGCATCTGTAGTGGCTTAATTTCTCTTCTTGTTCTATTCTTGACAACAGAATAGTCGTTATTTCAATGTTGAATATCATCATGATTATTAGAATCTGACTCAGAAGTTATGTTTGAAGATGTACATATATCAATCTGAAGTTTCACTTGTTTGCAAGACATTTTCTTCTGATCATCGTTTTTAGATTATTTAGTAGATGTTGCATATAACATGATAGATTCATCAAATGCAACATCTATACTAATGATCACTTTCTTGGTTTCTTGGCACCATAACCTATAACATTTGACTCCTATTTTATAACTAAGAAATATACACTTTATAAATCTAGGCTCTAATTTATCATTATTTGTATGAGCACAGGTGGGGCATCCAAAAAATTCTTAAATTAGAGTAATCTGCAGGCTTACCTGATCAAATCTCTTATGGATTTTTCTTTTCAATATAATTGGAAGGAGAGCGATTCACTAAGTAATAAGTTGTAGAAGTGGTTTTAGCCCAAAATGACTTAGGTAGTTTGGGATTGAGGAGTACACAATGAACCTTCTCCATTATAGCTTTGTTCATTTGATCCCGTACACCATTTTACTGAGATGTGTGTCAGACTGTGAAGTCTCACAAAATTCCTTCTGATTTACAGAAGACATTAAATCCTTCTGAACAGAATTTCAACCCATTATCAGTGGAAACTTATTTAATATAATTTTCAATATGCTTTTCAATCATGATCGTATAATCCTTAAATGTATCGCCCTTCTGCATCAAGAAGATTATCTTAACTTTTCTGGAGAAATCATTAATGAAAGTTAGTATACATTTAGTGTCTCCCTCAGATGGAATTGTAGATGGTCTTCTCCTTCAAAATCTTATAGATTTTGATTTGATAGATAAAGATAAATTTGAAAAAGAAGTTTGCGATCTATTTGTTGCTTCTCCTCTAGCATCCATGATGAGGGCATCTTTTCGAGTCCATGTAGTGCATCCTATAGATTCATAAACTCTTGCCTGACAGGGAAAATTCAGGTGTTGTGATTTAAAAGAGGGATACAATACTTTATCATTGTCATCTTCAAAATCAAAACTTAGCTCTGATACTACTCTTTATAACTTGATATTAATTGATGCAACAAATACGAAATAAATAAAAAAAAAATAACACAAACTTTACATGAAAAATTCGAGAAGAGAAAAACCACGGGCAGAGTAGGAGAATTCACTATATTAAAAATGAAATTATGATTGAAGAGTTTTTGCACGAAACATAAGAGTGGTATTTATTATTTTAGCAAGGCCCCTCTAAAGGAAATATATAAAAGAGAGCCAATAAAATAATAGTATATTGATTACAATATTCTAAAAGCTACTATAAGTTTGATCTAATAGTTGAAACATTCAATTCTGACGCTCACAGTTTCTTTCTAAACCTTTTTTCTACATGATCAAATTTTTTTTATGAGACAATAAACGAGATCCACAAAATTCAGGTCACAAATTTAGCACATAGTAGTAACTATGTTTGTAGTATTTATTAGTTGATGTTTGACGCATGTCTTTATGGCATTTATTCTTCGATCATATTTACAAAATGATTTTGCTTACCACTACCTGATGATTGCCATTGAATTTTTTTCTTTTTTTCAAAAATTGTCATCATTCCATTTTTCATCAATAAAATGATTTTGCTTACCACTACCTGATGATTGCCACTGAATTTTTTTCTTTTTTTCAAAAATTGTCATATAATAATCAACATTCCATTTTTCATCAACTCCATTTTTCATCAATCATTAATATCTCATGCAAGTTTTTCGGGCATGCAATCTCTCATTTTTTAAGAAAATGATCACATAGTTTTTTTTCCTTTTTGGTTCTTTGACTTTTGATATTTTTCTATCAGCTATATATATATATATATATGGATT